GGAGTGAAGATCCTCCAAACCTCCCTAGCTTAGCAAGAAGTGTCTGTCCCAGACTAGACCATATACAGTCATAATAGAGCATCGGCGGAACTTAGCAGCTGAGTGGGAAGAGAGATGAAGAGCAAAGGAAAGCTGCAGCCAGAAGCGATGAAAGACTGAAGCCAGCCAAGCACATGAGTGTGACTCCCGCTACCAATACTACAACGACTGGTCCAGCTTTTCCCTTCTAAGGGCAACTTCTTCAAAAGCAGAGGTTTCTGTAAATGTTGGACTCCAGTCCAGTCTGGATGATGGGGAATAGAGTCCATCCATATTTGGAAGAGGACACAAAGCCCGTAAGGGTGAATCCACACTGCAGAATCAGTGTAGTTTGACACCACTTTAACTGTCGAAGGCTTTCATGGCCGGAATCACTGGGTTGTTGTAGGTTTTTTCGGGCTATATGGCCATGGTCTAGAGGCATTCTCTCCTTTGTCCCACCCTGGTCATTCCACAGATATATAAACCCTTTTTCTGCCAGGCCATCAAATGCTAATCAAGGTGGTCAGTGGATACATTCACACCTAGCTCCAACAGACAAGAGTCCTTTGTCCCACCCTGGTCATTCCACAGATATATAAACCCTTTTTCCTAGTTCCAACAGACCTCAATACATCTGAGGATGCTTGCCATAGATGCAGGCGAAACGTCAGGAGAGGATGCATCTAGAACATGGCCATATAGCCTGAAAAAACCTACAACAACCCACCCTTTAAATGTTGTTTTATGTATCAGAAAAACTTAGCAAATGAAATCTTTCTTTTGTTTTGTACAAGCCTCATTTCAGTCCGAAATGGAGTCAGAAACATATTATCATGGGTTGTTGTAGGTTTTTTCGGGCTATATGGCCATGTTCTAGAGGCATTCTCTCCTGACGTTTCGCCTGCATCTGTGGCAAGCATCCTCAGAGGTAGTGAGGATGCTTGCCACAGATGCAGGTGAAACGTCAGGAGAGAATGCCTCTAGAACATGGCCATATAGCCCAAAAAAAACCTACAACAACCCACTAATCAAGGTGGTCAGTTGAAACATTCACACCTAGCTCCAGCAGACAAGAGTCCTTTGTCCCACCCTGGTCATTCCACAGATATATGAACCCTTTTTCCTAGTTCCAACAGACCTCACTACTTCTGAGGATGCTTGCCATAGATGCAGGCGAAACGTCAGGAGAGAACCCCATATAGCCTGAAAAAAACTATAACAACCCAGTGATTCCGGCCAGGAAAGCTTTCGACAATACAATGTAATGTCCATTTGTGGTATTAACATAACTCAAAAACACTGGATGAATTGACACCAGATTTGGACACAAGATACCTATCAGGCCAACCTCTGAGGATGCTTGCCATAGATGCAGGCGAAACGTCAGGAGAGAATGCCTCTAGACTGGCCATATCTATATAAATAAAAATGTAATGGTCGGTTTGTGGGATTAACATAACTCAAAAACCACTGGGTGAATTGACACCAGATTTGGACACAATACACCTATCAGGCCAACGAGTGACCATCGCTCATAAAAACACTGAAAAACACAGCAGAAGGGACTTAAAAAGCCAAAAAAAACCCCAAAAATTACATTACAACAGATGCGCAAAACCACATATATATATATATATACACAAACATATACACAAATACACACACACATATACACACACAAAACACATATACACAAACTGGGTCACAGCAACGCATGGCAGGAGACAGCTAGTTAATAATAGTAATAATAATAATAATACCCTCAAATCTCCCTTGAATTAATTAAATTCCATGTTAATGCTGACATTTTGGTCTGTTTTTAATTCTGCGCAAAATATGGCATGCAGGGCAGGATTTCTTCATGAGCAAAGGGGATGTAAATTTTATTATTATTATTATTATTATTATTATTATTATTATTATTAATGGCATTACCCCACTTGAATTACATTCTTCAGCCAGATCTACAATTCTCCCCCAAATACATTATGTGGGGCAGAATTTCTCCATGAGGAAAGATGGCAAAGGGGACATATATGTAATTTATCATCAACATCAAGAACAACCCCACTTGCAATACATTCTGCAATGGGATCTACAACTGTCACCAAAATATGGCATGCAGGGTAGAATTCCTTCATGAGGAACCACCTCAGAGATTAAGATCATCTGGAGAGGCCCTGCTCTCGGACCCACCACCCTCTCTGGTGAGAATGAGAGAGGGGGCCTTCTCAGTGGTGGCCCGTTGGCTGTGGAACCATCTCCCCAGCAACATGAGATCAGTCCCCTCCCTCCCAGCCTTTAGAAGGAAAGTAAACATCTGGCTGTGGGATCCGGCATTCGAATAATAGCACAGTACAATAAATGACTGGAATATGTGCAATGATTATGGAATGGCCTTGGATTGTGATTTTTGGATGGCATGATTTAACACTGAATGTAATGCTTTTCAATGTTTAATATGTATTTTAAGCTTAATGGTTGTCTTATGTTCTAAGCCACCGAATAATTGACATAAGTAAGCCACCTTGAATCCCCTTCAGGGTAGAGAAAGGTGGGGTATAAATAAGGTAAATAAATAAATATGGATGGGAAAAGGGGGTATAATAATAATAAACAAACAACAACAATAAATCTACTCCACTTGCAATACATTCTTCAGCTGAATCTATAATTCTCACCATAATATGGCATGTTTTCTAAATGAGGAAGAGTGGGAATATAATATTTCTTTATTTATTTATTGTCGTGTCAGGAGAGACTTGAGAAACTGCAAGTCGCTTCTGGTGTGAGAGAATTGGCCGTCTGCAAGGACGTTGCCCAAGGGACGCCTGGATGATTTGATGGTTTATCATCCTTGTGGGAGGCTTCTCTCATGTCCCCGCATGATGAGCTGGAGCTGGTAGAGGGAGCTCATCCGCCTCTCCCCGGATTTGAACCTGCGACCTGTCGGTCTTCAGTCCTGCCGGCACCGGTTTAAACCACTGCGAACAACAACTATAATTAATCTATATAAATAAAAATGTAATGTTCGTTTGTGGGATTAACATAACTCAAAAACCACTGGATGAATTGACACCAAATTTGACACAATACCCCTAACAGACCATCAAGTGACCATTGCTCATAAAACACTGAAAAACACAGCAGAGGGGACTTAAAAAGGCAAAAAAACACAAATATACGCAAACACACACATATACACAAATACACAAATATATACACACACTTATACACACAAAGCACATACACAGACTGGGCCACAGCAATGCATGGCAGGGTATGGCTAGCATACAAATAAAAATAAAAATAATAAAAGCACTTAAAAACACAGCAGAAGATACTTAAAAAGCATATATATATGTATATATGTATATATGTGTGTATATATATATATATATATATATATATATATATATATATATAAAGGACTAAAACTATAGAATCATAGAATCAAAGAGTTGGAAGAGACCTCATGGGCCATCCAGTCCAACCCCCTGCCAAGAAGCAGGAATATTGAATTCAAATCACCCCTGAGAGATGGCCATCCAGCCTCTGTTTAAAAGCTTCCAAAGAAGGAGCCTCCACCACACTCCGGGGCAGAGAGTTCCACTGCTGAACGGCTCTCATAGCTCTTCACATGGCAGGGGACGGCTAGTATAATAAAATAAGATCAACAATAACAATAATCATAAATAATATACAGCACTGGCAATAAAATCTTTGGCTGGAACGACAAATCTCCAAAATATGGCATGTTTCCTTCATGAGGAAAAGTGGATGAAAGGTAATTAGATTATTATTATTATTAGGTTCTTGTGGGTTTTTTCGGGCTATAGGGCCATGTTCTAGAGGCATTTCTCCTGACGTTTCGCCTGCATCTATGGCAAGCATCCTCAGAGGTAGTGAGGTCTGTTGGAATTAGGACAGTGGGTTTATATATCTGTGGAATGGCTGGGGTGGGGCAAAGAGCTCTTCTCTGCTGGAGCTAGGTGTGAATGTTTCAACTGACCACCTTCATTAGCATTTGAAGGCCTGGCTGAGCCTGGGAAAATCTTTTGTTGAGAGGTGTTAAGATGTGCCTGGTTGTTTCCTCTCTGCTGTTTTGCTGTTGTAATTTTAGAGTTTTTTAATACTGGTTGCCAGATTTTGTTCATTTTCATGCTTTCCTCCTTTCTGTTGAAATTGCCCACATGCTTGTGGATTTCAATGGCTTCTCTGTGTAGCCTGACATGGTGGTTGTTGGTGTGGTCCAGCATTTCTGTGTTCTCAAATAATATTATTATATAAACCCACAAGAACCTAGTGATTCCAGCCATGAAAGCCTTCGACAATACATTATTATTATTATTATTATTATTATTATTATTATTATTATTATTATAGCCATCATAATAATACATCATCTACCTCATTTGCAAGGCATTCCTCTGCCAGATTTGGGATTCTCCCCAAAATATAGCATGCAGGTCACAGTTTCTTCAGGAGATACAAATGCAATGCTGCTGATGATGATGATAACAACAACTACAATCAACAACAACAACAACAACAACAACAATCCACTTGCAGGATCCTTCCATGAAACAACAACAGCAACAGCAACAACAACTATACCCCACTTGCAAGGCATTCTTCCACCAGATCAGTAATTCTTCCCAAGCTATAGCTTGCAGGACAGGATTCCTTCCCAAAGAAGAGTAGGAAAGGGGATATATCAATATTACAAATCTGCTCCACTTGCATGACATTCTTCATCCGGAGAGTGACCCCTACCTGGATCCCTCAAACTGCAATGAAGTGGACTCAGTTTCTCGCAATCCCCAAATTCCCCCCTAGCCCTAACTCAGTCCCTACAAGCCTGGCTCCCTCTCCACTCCCAATCCTTTTCCCCAGCCAGGATAATGGGAGAGGTGAGCGCAGACCTCTCCAAAACAAGAGAAGCTCTCCAAGTGGGGGGATCTGAACCCAGTCCCTACCTGTCTGCCCCTCGGCGGAGCCCCCCTGGCTCAGTAGCAGCAGCATCAGGAGGGAAGAGAGGGCGAGGAGCCCCCAAAGGGAGCCCGAAGAGACCCCGAAGGGAGGCCCAGGAAGCCCCCCGGCGCCCCTCTCCATGCCAGCTGGGTGCCCTCCGCCTCTGCGCCTCGCGCGCCCCTGCCTTTTACGCACGCCTCTCCCTCCGCCTTCCCCCCTTCCTCCTTCTCTCCTCCTCCTTCTCCGGCCCTCCTCCTTCCCTCCTTCCACCCCCTCCCCTCCCTCCCCTCCCTCCCGGACCTTTTCCTCTCCTCCTTCTGGCTTTTCTTTCTTTCTTTCTTTGGCTCGGCTTCCCTTAACGAGAAACACATGTTTGGAGAGGCTGAGAGAGAATTGCGCGCAGAGAGAGAGAGAGAGAGAGAGGAAGCACGCCGAGGGTCTTTCCCACGAAATGAGACCCCTATTTCTCTCTTCCCCCTCCCCCAAATGAAAGCCTTGCCTATCAAAGGAGTGTCTCTTGGGAACTGCAACTCCCCAAATCCCCGGCTGCCTAAGTGCTGGGAGTTGGAGTCCTCCAAAGAAGTTAGAGAAACTGTGCCTAAAGTTTCCAAGTCTCGAATTGTCGGGGAACTTTGGAATCGGAGACCAAAGAAATCAGAGGGACTGATTCCCTGAAAGGATGCTGGAATTTCCCTTCCAAGGAGTGTCTTCTTGGGGATCACAGCGCCCCAAATCCCTGACTAGTCAAGTGCTGGGAATTAGAGTCTTCCCAAATATTTCAAAGGAACGGAACCCTAAAGCAGTGGTTCTCAACCTTCCTAATGCTGCGACCCCTTAATATAGTTCCTCATGCTGTGGTGACCCTCCAACCATAAAATTATTTTTGTTGCTAGTGGTGGGGTTGGGGGGGGATTGATTTTGACATTTGGGATTTATAGTTCACCTACAATCAAAGAGCATTCTGAACTCTACCAGCGATGGAATTGAACCAAACCTGGCGCACAGAACTCCCATGACCAACAGAAAATACTGGAAGGGTTTAGTGGACATTGACCTTGAGTTTGAGAATTGTAGTTCACCTACATCCAGCACTGTGGATTCTAACAATGATGGATCTGGACCAAATTATGCCCACATGTCAACACTGGTGAAATTTGGGGAAAATAGAGTTGACATGTGGGAGTTGTAGTTGCTGGGATTTATAGTTCACCTACAATCAAAGAGCATTCTGAACTTCAGTAAGAATGGAATTGAACCTAGCTTGGCACACAGAGCTCCCATGCCCAACAGAAAATACTGGAAGGGTTTAGTGAACATTGACCTTGAGTTTGGGAATTGTAGTTCACCTACATCCAGAGAGCACTGTGGACTCAAACAATGATGGATCTGGACCAAACTTGGCACAGATACTCAATATGCCCAAATGTGAACACTATATTTGGAAAATATAGACCTTGACATGTGGGATTTGTAGTTGCTGGGATTTATAGTTCACCTACAATCAAAGAGCATTCTGAACTCCACCAATGATGGAATTGGGCCAAACTTAGCACACAGGGCTCCCATGACCAACAGAAAAAACTGGAAGGGTTTAGTGGACATTGACCTTGAGTTTGGGAATTGTAGTTCACCTACATCCAGAGAGCACTGTGGAATCAAACAATGATGGATCTGGACCAAACTATGCCCACATGTCAACACTGGTGAAATTTGGGGGAAATAGAGTTGACATGTGGGAGTTGTAGTTGCTGGGATTTATTGTTCACCTACAATCAAAGAGCATTCTGAACTTCAGTAACAATGGAATTGAACCTAGCTTGGCACACAGAGCTCCCATGCCCAACAGAAAATACTGGAAGGGTTTAGTGAACATTGACCTTGAGTTTGGGAATTGTAGTTCACCTATATCCAGAGAGCACTGTGGAATCAAACAATGATGGATCTGGACCAAACTATGCCCACATGTCAACACTGGTGAAATTTGGGGAAAATAGAGTTGACATGTGGGAGTTGTAGTTGCTGGGATTTATAGTTCACCTACTATCAAAGAGCATTCTGAACTTCAGTAACAATGGAATTGAACCTAGCTTGGCACACAGAGCTCCCATGCCCAACAGAAAATACTGGAAGGGTTTAGTGGACATTGACCTTGAGTTTGGGAATTGTAGTTCACCTACATCCAGAGAGCACTGTGGACTCAAACAATGATGGATCTGGACCAAACTATGCCCACATGTCAACACTGGTGAAATTTGGGGAAAATAGAGTTGACATGTGGGAGTTGTAGTTGCTGGGATTTATAGTTCACCTACTATCAAAGAGCATTCTGAACTTCAGTAACAATGGAATTGAACCTAGCTTGGCACACAGAGCTCCCATGCCCAACAGAAAATACTGGAAGGGTTTAGTGGACATTGACCTTGAGTTTGGGAGTTGTAGTTCACCTACATCCAGAGAGCACTGTGGAATCAAACAATGGTGGATCTGGACCAAACTTGGCACAAACACTCAATATGCCCACATGGCAACCCTGGTGGAATTTGGGGAAAATAGACCTTGACATTTGGGAGTTGTAGCTGCTGGAATTAATAGTTCACCTACAATCAAAGAGTACTCTGAACCCCACCAAAGATAGAACTGGGCCAAACTTCCCACACAGAGAGCCCCATGACCAACAGAAAATACTGTGTTTTCTGATGGTCTTCAGCGACCCCACTGGCACCCCCTCGCGACCCCCCCAGGGGCCCCGACCCCCAGGTTGAGAAACGCTGCCCTAAAGTTTTCAAGCTGTAGTAGTGGTTCTCAATCTTCCTAATGCCCCTTAATACAGTTCCTCATGTTGTGGTGACCCCCAACCATAAAATTATTTTTGTTGCTACTTCATAACTGTAATTTTGCTACTGTTATGAATCGTAATGAAAATATCTGATATGCAGGATGTATTTACATTCACTGGACTACATACCCAATATGCCCAAATTTGAATACTGGTGGGGTTGGGGACAGGTTGATTTTGTCATTTGGGAGTTGTAGTTGCTGGGATTTATAGTTAACCTACAATCAAAGATCATCCTGAAATCCACCAAGGATGGAATTCACCAAACTTGGCAGACAGAACTCCCATGACCAACAGTTTGGTGGGCATTGACCTTGAATTTCAGAGTTGGGGTTCACCTCCATCCAGAGAACACTGTGGACTCAAACAATGATGGATCTGGATCATACTTGGCAAATACTCAATATGCTCAAAGTGAACACTGGTGGAGTTTGTGGAAAATAGACCTTGACATTTGGGAGTTGTAGTTGCTGGGATTTATAGTTCACCTACAATTAAAGAGCATTCTGAACTCCACCAATGATGGACCTGAACCAGGATTTCGTTTGGGGGGGGGGGCTGAATTTTTTCAGGGGGGGTTTCGGGGGGGCTGAGTTTCGGGGGGGCTGAGTCTGAGTGAAAGAGGGTCTAGCCTAGCAAACCTTTTGTATCATTACCCCAATACCCCCATGCATATGGGATATATTGAGTATGGTGATCAGATCATGATATGAATAAACATAACAGTTTAAATAATGCACCAGTAAGGCCTTTTCGCGAATCACCATGAGAATTTCGGGGGGGGGGCTGAAGCCCCCAGCCCCCCCCCCCCCCCCCCCGGCTACATGCCTGCCACCAATGATAGAATTGGGCCAAACCTCCCACACAGAACCCTCAGGACCAAAAGAAAATACTGTGTTTGGCGACCCCCTGACACCCCTTCATGACCCCCCAGGGGTCCCGAGGTTGAGAAATGCTGAGCTACAGTCTGCCGGGAATCTTGCAATTTCCCTTCCACGAAGTATTGAGCCTTGGCAATAGAATTGGGCCCAAACTGGGTTGTTGTGCAATTTCTGGGCTGTATGGCTATGTTCCAGAAGCATTCTCTCCTGACGTTTCACACTCATCTATGGCAGGCATTCTCAGAGGTAGTGATGTCTGTTGGAAACTAGGCAAGTGGGGTTTATATATCTGTGAAATAATATCCAGGGTGGGAGAAAGAACTGTTGTCTTCTTGAGGCAAGTGTGAATGTTGCAATTGATCACCTTGATTAGCACTGAATGGCCTTGCAGTTTTAAAGCCTGGTTGGTTGCTGCCTGGGGGAATCCTTTGTTGGGAGGTGCTAGCTAGCCCTGATTGATTCTTGTCCATGAAAGCCTTCAACAACACATTGGGCCCAAACTGCATTCATTGTGTAGAGACACCCTTAGAAGGAATGCCTAGTGGGATGGGACATTCAGTTCAAAGTAACTGAAAGGAATGGGTCCCATTTTTATTTATGTATTCCTCGACTGATTTTTATTCCAGCCATATAAGACCTCATTCTGAAGAAAGTTAGTGATTATGTAAAATGTTGCCTATATTACACTGCACTCCTATAATCTATAGTGGAAATTGGGGGTGGGGACTAGATAAAAATTATTTTAAAACTTTTGGGAAGCCATTTGAGTTCCAGAGAAGAGGCAGGATGACACTATCTGCTGCCTTGATATTGGAAGAAAGGATACAAATACATAAATAAGAATACATGAAATATTATTGCTTTAACTGTAAAAGCCAGAGGTTTGAGACCAGGGTTTGAATCTCTGCTCGGCCATGGAAACCCATTGGGTGGGTTTTGGTGTCATTCCCTCTACCCCTGGGGACTTGAACTCGTTTAGAGCGGCCAGGTACTCCTGGATGTCTTCTTTCCCAATTTGGGGTTGGATGTCCTCTAATCCCTCACCCACTCCATCTTGCTGAGGTTGAAGATGACTTTCTTTTTGTGGGAAGACCGAGGCAAAGAAGGCATTAAGTATTTCTGCCTTTTCCCTATCCCCTCTCAGCATTGCCCCATCTTCTTCTCGAAAAGGCCCTATCACCTCCTTGTTCTTCCTTTTTTTACTGACATAAGAAAAGAAGCCCTTTTTATTGTTTTTAATGTCCCTAACAAGCCTGAGCTCGTTTCATGCTTTAGCCTTGCTATTCAAATAGCCTTTTCCCTACAGGAGTTGGCAATTTGTTTGAATTCTTCTTTGGTGATTTCTCCCTTTTTCCACTTCTTGTGTGTGTGTCTTTTGAGTCTTCGCACAATTGGAATATTGTGTCCAATTCTGGGCACCACAATTGAAGAGAGATATTGACAAGTTGGAATGTGTCCAGAGGAGGGCGACTAAAATGATCAAGGGTC